ATATATATATATATATATATATATATATATATATAGTTTATGTGACATTAATTCTTTAACTACTAACAACTAACTACTATCTAACAACTAATATCTAATTTTAATTAATAAGTATTAATATTAGTTTCTAGAAAATGAGCATTAATTTTTTAACACTCCCCCGTAATGCTCATTTTTACAATTCCGAGCTTTTTGTGTAGAGTCTTGGATCTTGGTCTCAGTAGTGACACCGACATCCTCTCGAATTATGTTTTCTTCTCGAACCATTCCAAGACATGTTCGGAACTCTTCGAATTTTGAAAAATTGAGCCCTTTGGTAAAAACATCAGCTACTTGATCTTCCGTACCAATGTGTTTCATCTCAATCTCTCCTTTGAGCACTTTTTTTCTAACGAAGTGATAGTGAACTTCGACGTGTTTTGTTCTCGCGTGGTATACGGGGTTTTCTGCTATGCGTATTGCAGATTGATTACACAATATAGCTCTACCGCGTAGTAAATGGCTAATGTAGATCTTTTAATAGTTGCATAAGTCATGTGCTTTCTTGTGCCGCCATTGCTGCTGCTCGATATTTGGCCTCTACTGTTGATAGGGACACTGTTGGTTTTTTTTTGCTACACTATGATATAGCAGCCGATCTAAACTTGAACACATACCCTGTAGTGGACCTTCTCGTATCACCACATCTGGCATAGTCCGCGTCGCAATAGCCAACAATTTTTATATCTTTATTCCTTTGATAGAAAAGTCCATAGTCAATTGATCCTTTTACATACCTTAGTATGTGTCGGACTAACTCGAGGTGTGGCTTCTTTGGTTTTTCCATGAATTGGCTTGCGATCCTTACTGCATATGAAATGTCTGACCGTGTAAGGTTAGATAGATTAGGCTTCCGACCAGCTTCTTGTACATAATTGCATCCTCCAAGTCTTTTCCATCTTGAGCACATATCTTGGCGTTTGCTTCAATTGGATTCGATAACGGCTTGCAGTCAATCATGCCAAATTTCCTCAATAGATCTTTAGCATATTTTGACTGAAACAATAAAAGACCGTCGTCTTTTTTTTTTTTAGCTCAAGTCCCAAAAAATGTTTAAGTTCTCAAAGCTCTTTCATTTGGAATCTCACCAATAAATTCTTCATGGTTTGATGGATTTCTTCTTCATCGTCTCCAGTGATAATGATATCATCTACATATACTAGCAGTATTGCTAGTTTTATTTCTTGTTTCTTAATGAAGAGGTTCGAGTCTGATGGTGCAACAGAGTATCCACACTGAATTAAGAATTCAGCGATCTTACCGTACCATGCTCGTGACGCTTGTTTTAACCCGTATAGGGCCTTCTTTAGTTTGCAGACGTAGTCTGGATTCTCCTTAACCTCGAACCCCACAGGTTGGACAATGTAGATTTCTCTGTCAAGCTCTTCATGTAAAAATGCATTCTTCACGTCCATCTGCCATAATTTCCAGGACTTGTTTGCTGCCAGTGCAATAAGTACTCGAACTGTTGTAATTTTTGCCACTAGACTAAATGTCTCGTCGTAGTCTAGTTCGTACTGTTGTGAGAATCCACGTGCAACAAGCCTAGCTTTATATCTTTCAATTGATCCGTCATGCCACCTTTTTTATTTTATAAACCCATTTACAAGATATGGGTTTAACTCCATTCGGTTTGGGTACTAAGTCTCATGTTTCATTTTGCCTTAGAGCCAAAATCTCTTCATTCATTGCTTTTGTCCATTCTTTGAGTTTAATTGCTTCTTCAAATATTTGTGGCTCCATTACACTTGTATCTTCTTCTAAGGCGTACCTGGGATTTGGCCTCTTTTGTCTAGAAGATCTTCGTAATTGTTGTGGACTTGCCGGTACTTCGCCTTCTTCCTCCTATGGTGGCTCAATCTCCTCGAGTTGAGTTGGCCTCATGTACACCGGTCTGCCACGGACATTGAGTTGTTCTTGGTGACTCCTAGATTGCATGGATGAGCATGACACCTAGATTAGGATTAGAATAATTAAGTTCCACCTAAGCTAAATGCATGGACATGTGTCCTTAGATGGTTTAAAGGAAAATCCCATATTTCCACTAATTTTGTTGAAAAATAAATGGGCTAATAAACTCAAGACTAACAAACAAATTAATTTTATTATTTCAAATATATCACTGAATGTTGTGTACAAATTATTCTTTTTACCGAGTACCGAATCGAAAGATTCGTTCCCCGGGTCGATCTCACGAGGAAGGCAGTTCAGAATTTAGTTCTGATATCGATAACAAATAAAAGCAAAGAAAATCCTAAACATACTAATCAAATAAGGATGGATGAATTATGAGCTATGAAAGAACATAAAAATAATAATCTAACTAAGAAATACGAACGAAACAATGAAAAAGAAGCTAGGGAGTCGGGGATAATTAATTCAAGTTCTAGCAAAACCGGGCATTCAATTGTTCGGTTCAAGATTGACACTCTTGCTTATACATCTAGAGGTTCGCTCCCAATAACTTTTCGTAACAAGGGATTGAACATAGACGTGCAAGTTCGAGCA